TAAAATGTAAGTTTCTATCTAGTTTATTTTATAGGATAAAAATATATCTTCAATTTTCATTATTTATTTCAGATGAATCACAATTTAATGTGGTACGAGTGGGTAGTGGACAAAAATATGATCCAAATTCTCCTATTGTCAATGTTATGCTGGATACTGTGATCAAACAAAAAATGGGAAATCTTTCAAATGAAGCTGATGTAAAATACAAATATATTGATATTATAAAATTTGATTTTTGAAATTATTTAGCATTTATTATTGTTTTATTAGCAACAAGGTCAATCAAACAATTTGTTCATGTATACCAATAAGAAAGATCTTGAAAATGAAGTACTTATAAATACTGAAGTTATTGTGACAACATTAAACTCCTGTTTTTCCAAAACAATGGAGGAGGCCTTCAAGCCCTCAAATCCTAAGTAAATTAATTTTTTTCTTATTTGAATAGTTATTTATTTATTTWATTTATTTTTATAGGTCATTGAATAGTCATCATTTTACTGCTTGTATAGTAGATGAAGCTGGACAATCTATAGAACCTCTCATTTTTGTTCCGATATTACTTGGTATTGATAAACTGATTTTGGTTGGAGATGATAAACAACTTCAACCCTTAGTAAAAAGCAAGGTAAATAAAATAAATTAATACATTTATCGCAAAATTTTATTAAAAGATATAAATATTTAAAGAATAATAATTATGTATTTTTCTTAAAAACTATTTTACTCAACTTATACAACATAATTTAAATTAAATGTTTTAGGTGGCTAAAGATAATGGTCTTGGTGTTTCTCTTTTCAAACGACTAAAGACTTGGTTTGAACATAAGCGTTCTACACGGAAAAGTTTTCCTGTTACAATGTTAAATACTCAATATCGAATGCATCATGAAATTTGTTTATTTCCATCGACATACTTTTATAAAGGTTTAATTAAAACTGCACCATCTRTCAAAATGAGAAAGCAGCTATCATTTCATCCATACATGATCCTAGAACATGAATGCCTGCAAGATAATGCTGGGTATAGTATATAGTATATTTCATACATTTTGAAAAATTGTCTGATTAAAAATTATTATATTWAGTGAGGTAAATATTGGAGAAGCAAATATGATTGTAAGTTTGGTAGAAATTTTACTCAACTCTGAATGTCAATCATTAACTATTGCTGTCTTAACACCTTACCATAAACAGAGAGAGCAAATAAATATGTTACTRAGAAAAAAGTAAGAAGTTTAATTTTGTTTATTTAAATTCTCTATTAAAATAAGTGTTTTTAAAGGAAGATCTCATTAAACGTCAATACAATAGATTCATTTCAAGGTGGAGAATGTGATGTGTTATTGATATCAACAGTTCGTACTAATGGAGTTGGATTTATGGACGATATTTGTCGATTGAATGTTGCTTTAACACGAGCTAGGCAATCATTAATAATATGTGGAAACTTTATGTCTTTGAGAGTAAGATATTTTTATAAAATTATTATTTTTTGTCTTAACAAATTAACAGTAGTTTCTGTAATCCTTCAGCTACACGATAATCATTTCCTAACAGTAATCCAAATGATTTTATTTTTGATAGTAATGAGCAGTTATCTTATAAATTCACTAAATTCAACTGACAATCCTGATAAATCAATTAAAAATTATTTCCAAATATTGTAGGACTATTATACATTACAGGAAACAATATTATAAATCATTACAGGAAAAATAAAATAATAGATCATCATTGATGATGTTTGTTAACTCCAATAGTTTAACAACCCTTCATATGTAAAGGATTACACAAACTACTTTATTTATGTACTAATATTTGTATATACATAAGTATAAATAAATTTATAGGGAGAACAAGTATGGTCTGATTTATTAGAAGATGCAAGAAAACGTAAATTAATTAAGAAAGTATCAAAAAAAGTCATAACTAATTCAAGGGTTTTGCTTGCTATGATAAAAATTTAATTATATTTGATATGTCTAGTATTTATTACAACCTTAAATATCAATATAATATTTTAATATTTTAATATTATATGAAATTGTTTTTCTCAACCCTATTTTCTGAATTTGTTTATAATTTATTAAATTTGTTATATCAAGAAATATTTTGATGATGTAATAATTACTAGGTACCTGAATAAAAGGTATATTTTCAAGAATATACCAATGATGTTTTATTTTTATTTTAAATATAAACAAAACGGATCTAAGTATATATACAATTATATTTATTTTATTACACTGATTTTATGTCCATTTTAATATTGTATGCATGTACACA